GTTTTCAATTCCTTCAAAAGGAAGGAGGAAAATAATCTAGTCAAACCATTGCTTGATCTAAAGGTAAACTTTTAAAAAAAACCCAAAGCGACCAGTTAATCCCATCAAAATTACATGATGAAGTACATCTCAAGAAAGCCATAGATTATATATTTTTGAAGTATTGATCATGGGGCAGCTAGGTGGGGCAATGGATAGAGCACCAGCCCTGAAGTCAGGAGGACCTGAGTTCAAATCCGGCCTCAGACCAAACACTTAACACTTACTAGCTGTGTGACCCTGGGCAAGTCACTTAACCCCGATTGCCTAAAAATCATAAATAGATAGATAAATAGATAGATAGATAGATAAGTAGATAGATAGATAGATAGATAGATAGATAGATAGATAGATAGATAGATAAAAGTTTTGACCCAAATTTTTGGAAACTTTTCATTGTGTAAAACAAGCTTTGCCTGGAAAGAGGTAAAATCTGTCAAGATTTGAGGTATCATTGCTGTAAGAGATTCTCATCATGTAGCAAAATTGGTCTGTAGGTAAAATTGACACCCTTTCAATACCTTACGATTTTAGAGAGCTGCCTTGGAGCATAAAGAGATGAAGCTATGACCCGTGGTCACATAGCCAGTAACTGTTGAGAGGCAGGACTTAAGCCTAGGGATTGCAGACTCCAAGGTGAATGCTCTATCCAATTTTCCACACTGTTTTTTGCCTATATATTATATCAGGTGATAGAACAGAAAGAAAAATAAGCTAAATTTTCTAGCTCATAACCCAAAATGCTCTCATGCAATGGATAGGAATAACTGGATAAAAAGCAAACCCACATTAAATATGACATGCAGTTATATATATTTAGGACTACTGTTTATAGGCAAATAAATGTAAGTAAGAAAAATCCTGGACATTTTCTCAGGACTAATTAATCATAACAAATTAAATCTGACCAGTTGGAATATGTGTAATCATATAATGTGGATCACTATGTAGATGATAAACCCCTGCCCAAATGAAAACATTTTCTTTTCGCCAGAAGGAATCAAATATTGTTATTCTTTATTTATCCTCTGCTCTGATCCGATGATTTCCTGTCTTTTGTTTTAGTTTAGTGTGGAACTCCCATGTTTCATAAGCTAATATTTAGAAAAGAAATATCATGTGAGGTTCTCTAAAGCAAAGAACACAATTTTGCAAATCCCAAAACAAATAAAAGATGCAAGCAACAATCACAATCATAGTTACTGTGGTTAAAGGGTCAGACCCTCACTTCTCCTTTGGGTCAGAGAGCAGATTTTTGAAGGAAGCCTTCCTTTCAAAGGTTTCCAGAGGTTGAGAATACATTCACTTAAGAAATACAATTCAATCCAACAAGTATTAAGTAAGCCCCTGCAGTGTGCCAGACACTATGCTAGGTGGTGGAGATACAAAGTCAAAATGTGCCAGGTGCTGTTTTTGTTATTACCAGAAATAGCACCATTATTAAGAAGGCCTTGCCTTTGTGAAGTCTGGAAAACACTTTCACAATTCTAATCACATCTGATCCTCTCAATGACCCTATGAAATAAATAAGAAATGAAGGCCCAAGGAGATTAAGTGGATTTGGATGAGTTTAAACTTATGTAGCCTCTGGTAGAGGTGGGGCAACACTCTCGGTTAGGAACCTTCTAGGGTTTAGAACTGTTTCCCGCTATCCTTTTAAATAAAGACATAGTCAGGATAAAGTTTCTAAATCAGCTGTAAGAATTTAGGAGCCTAAATATGCAACTAGAAAAATAGAACAGAAACACAAAGTGTGTGTGTGTGTGTGTGTGTGTGTGTGTGTGTGTGTTGTGTATATCATACACAAGAGTGTAGTTCTGCTCATCCAAACAGATCATATCATTTTAGAAGGCCATATTTCATGGATTTATGTCTTTATGGGAAGAGAGATTGGGGTGAACTAATGCTAATTTAGTTACCTAAATATATTGAAGTAGTTGCCTTTCCTTTATGAATAACTTGTCTTTTTTTTTGCAAAACAGACAAATAAGCAAACCAATGTGATATGAGTTAAAATATTTTGGAAGAGTCTTGGTTAAGTTGCTCTACTGCGCTTACAGCTATAACCAAGGTACCCTACTTGTCAGCGGATCAAGGGCCTGGCCAATAGAAGTCTAGTCCCAGAGTCTGTGAATCATGCCCTGCCTATTGCAAGTCCATGTGGAAGAGACTAGGGGGCCTACTAGAAAGGCATGATGATGTACAGTGGAAGGACCTCATTCTCTGATTGGAGCATTCACACACATTCTGTAATTGTCACATGATAAAGAGACACCTGACAACACGCTTCTGAGCCAGAACAGGAGTACAATGGAAAGACGTTGCAAAGGGAAGCCTTTTCTTCCTGCTGGCTGCGTTCAAGTGAGGGGGCGAGGACTGCTGTAAGCCTTTGGTCACTTCATCAATACCTCAACCATATGACCCACACATGCGTGGCCCTAATGTGGTATTTGTCTCTGTTGCCTGTTGTTTCTGATTTTAGGATGAATGTGTATTGGATCTATATCTACAAACTTGTAAACTTCAAAATATCAGAGCATTAGGCTCCAGAAGTCCAAGAACTGAAGCCCAGGCTGAGATTTGCCAGAAGCCAGATGACTGAGTGACTGGACTGATCCAGCATGGGTCAAAGGTAGCCAAGAGAGAGCTATAGAGATTTATCCATGAGCTATGCCAAATTTGGAAGTGAATCTGGTGGGGCAAATGCCATGCCGAAAGTGCTTTAAGTTTGAGTCTACTCTCCCAAGGGGCCAACATAATATGAGAGAGTGTGTCCCAAACGTTGGGGGCCGGATATGCTGCATAATATCTCTTCTTACTATATCTTTGCAGTAAATACTATGCTCTGAAAGATACTTAAGTCTGGCTGACTAAATTGACTCATCATATAATATTGGGGAAAATACACAAGAATGGAGCTCCAGCCAATAGCACTAGAAAAAGATTTCCTTGATCCTTCAGTGGTACCCCAGAACCTTAAGGAAGAATTTTGGTCTAGGAAATTAAATCCAGAATGTGGGCTACAACAGATAAGTGATTCCTTTGTATTACTCATTACAAAATCACAGAAGTTTAGAATTGGAAAGGACCTCATAATCCATCAAGTCTGCTCTATAGAGGAAATATTCATGGGAAATATATATGTTTACACATTCAGTCAATCAGTCAAGTGTTTAGTAAGTACTTACCATTTGCCAGGCACTGTGCTAAGCTCTATAAACCTCATTCCTGACCTTTAGGAGCTCACATTCTAATGGGGGAAACAATATGCCGATAACTATGTATGCATAACATATAGACAGTGCAAATGAGAGGTAATCTCAGAAAGAAGTTACCAACAATGAGTAAGTTGGGTGGTGGAAGGGGGAGCAAGAAAAGATCTCTTGAAGGAGGTGAGATATGAGCTGTCTTGAAGGAATCTAGGTAAGGCAAGGAATGGGGATGGGGAGGGAGGAGATTCCAGGCATGAAAAACAGCTAATAAAAAGGAACAAAACTGGAAGGTAGAGTGTCATGTTTGAGTGAGGAACAAAAAGAAGGCCAGGATCACTGGATCATAGTACATGGAGGGGAAGTCAAGTGTAAAACAACTTCAGAGGTAGAAAGTGGCAACGTTGCAAAAGGCTTGAAAAGCCAAATGGGATTTTGTTTTGTTTTGTTTTGTTTTATCCTGGAGGTAATAGAGAGGCATTGGCATTTACTGAGTTGAAGGTGACATAGTCAGACCTATGCTTTAGGAAAATCACTTTGGAAGCTGAGTGGAAGATGGATTGGAATGGGAAGAGACCTGAGTCAGGGACACCACCCAAGAGGCTACCACAGTAGTTCAGATGTAAGGTGATTCATGGCAGTGGCTAAGGGAGTAGATAACTGTTGTAAATATCGACTTGGAAACAAATTGAATATGTAGGATGAGTATGACAGATGAGTATAACAGTCTCACGTCTATTGGGTGGAATAGAGCAAAATTAAAAGTTTGTACTTTTGATGTTTTCCTCAAACATCACTCTGAAAGTCACTCCTCATTTCAGAAATGAATGAATGAATGAATGAATGGAAGAGAGAGAGAGAGAGAGAGAGAGAGAGAGAGAGAGAGAGAGAGAGAGAGAGAGGAACTGGGAAGTTAACATGTTGGAAGGGCCATCAATATGAATGTGGAAGTTCCCTACCCTGAGGGCAAATGTTGGAGTAGAGAGAACAACTGTGAATCAGTCATTCAACTCCATAAAGAAGAAAGGAGAATATTTAGGAATCAACAAATAATAGCTGCCAGAATCTTGTGATACATTGAATTAGTCTGTATAGTCACTTGATGCTAAGGAAATTTTAAACTAGCTGCCACTGTGCTAGTACATGTATTTTGATCATTTAATTTAATTATTTGAGTTGATACAGTACAACATAATAGCCTAAATATTGTTTCTAGACTAAGGAAAGCATATGTTAGAATGGACATGGATAGCCTACGATCTGTAGGGAAGGTCATGAGGTACACTTAGAGACTTCTCCCATTAGTACATTAATAGAATGGATTTATCAAATTATTACATTGTTGCCTTGGATGGCAGGGAGAGCTTGGCCCCAAGAGAATGAGCTATAGGATGAGAATTAGGAGGAATGCAGGAGGAAGTCACAGAATGGACCCACTAACTAAGGCCAAGAGGCTAAACTAAGGCATCCATCCCTGGGAGGTTTCCGTGCATGAAAGCACCAGCCTGAAATCTACTGGATCCCATAAGCTAGCAATTCGTTGATTGGAGCCGATACAGTGTTTGATAGTTAATTGGATTAATAGATAAAATATAGTATAGATTCATCCATTCATGTTTGCTAAAGGGGGCATTTGAATTAAGATTAGTGTCTTTGGGAACAGGAGCAGTGGCTTGGGTGTTCCTGGGATGCCCACCCAAAATAGCCAGGGAATAGCTGACTCAAAAGGTAGCTGGTCATACTGACACTCACAGTGAGTTAAGAAGCCAGATGATGATCATTCTTCAGTTGGTTCATCTTGGACCTGACAGCTCTGTATTTACTCAGGGCTGAAAAAGTGAGAATAAGGGTGAGGATGAGACAGGTTTGGCCTGGGAGGTGTAATGCAGCTGAGAACCCTCAATGCTTTGTCATGAATCTCTTTATCATTTGGAGGTGTAGAGGTGTTCACGAGTATCTGTTAGTCTGGACCTGTAGATTGTGCTGCTCAATATTTCCCCACAACCACGCAAGCATTGAAGAAATAAATGGTGATTAAAGCTGGAGGTCAGATCTAGCAGCACTTGGCCCCCACTTGCTATCCCTAGAAAAGGGTTCTTAGCAACAGATACCAAAAGTCATATTTTCCCCAAGCCAGTTAAATATACTGGGCAATCTCAATTCATACACTGCCAGGGCAGTGAGAGGAAAAAGTGAAAGTCACTTTATCTGGAATTCCTATTCTTTTAACGCGTGGAAGGCAAAAAAAAAAAAAACATTAAAACCCAGCAACTAACATTTATACATGACAACCAACTTTCTTTTAAAATAGCACAGCCTATTAATCAACAGGTATTCATGAATATCCACAGAAAGCCTAGGCAATGATGCCAGCAACTACTTAAAAGCTCAGTTCTTTAATATACAAACCAGAAGGTGAATTAAGATAAGCCCTTTGTGAGTATAGACCAGGGAGAAAGAATTATTCCCCAAACCCTTAAACAAAGGAAGTGTAATTCCAGGGTTGCAACCTCATTTAACAGCATGGTTTAGGGAAATCATGCACATTAGCGAGCAATCTTGAAGTAGTCAGAAGGGAACCTTATTCAGGAACTGTGACAGTGTGGTGCAGCAGAAAGAATGCTGAACTCTTTTTGTGGTGGCAAAGAATTAGAAACTGAGGGATGCCCATTAATTAGGAAATGACTGAACAAGTTGTGGTATATGAATGTAATGGAATACTATCATGCTATAAGAAACGATGAGCAGGCAGATTTCAGAAAAACCTGAAAGACTTACATGAACTGATGCTGAGTGAAGTGAGAACCAGGAGAATATTGTACACAATAACAGCAACATTGTGCAATAATCAACTATGATAGACTTAGCTCTTCTCAGCAATACGATGGGCCAATACAATTCCAAAAGACTCATGATGGAAAATGTTATCCACATCCAGAGAAAGAACTGATGGAATGTGAATACAGATCAAAGCATACTGTTTTCACTTTCTTTATTTTTTTCATAGCCTTTTCCTCTTTTGTTCTGTTTCTTCTTTCACAACATGAGTAATGTGGAAATACGTTTTACATGATTGCACATATATAACCTATATCAAATTTCTTACCATCTTAGGGAGGAGGAAGAGAGAAAAATTTGGAACTCAAAATCTTATGTAGAATTAATGTTTAAAATGTCTTTATATATAGTTGAAAAAAAATAAAATACTATTTAAAAATAAAAAAGAAAGAATGCTGAATTTGGAATTAGGAAGATCTAGGTTCAAATCTTACCTCTGATACCTATTAGCTTCGTAACCATGAGCAAGTCATTTAACATCTGTGAACTTTGGCCCCCTCATTTTTCAAATGAGGATAATAATCCCTATAATACCTAATTCTTGGAGTTGTTGTAAGGCTCAAACAAGATAAGACATATAAAACATTTCACAAACCTTAGGGTAGAGGTGTCAGCCCACAACACTCCTGACTGTCTAGGAACCAGATTGAAATGTAATTGGGTAATTTTTAGCAAAATAAATAAAAATACAGTAAAGTATAGATAACATTATATTATAAAGCTAATTCAATATGCACTCGTGGGGAATTTTTATATATTGGGTTAGTGGCCTCTGTTTCTGTCTGGGTTTGACAGCACTGCCTTACAGCACCATATAAATACATAGAGAATGTATCCATGGACAGATTCAGTTTCTCACAATGCAGGTGACCAAAATATCATCATTCGTTGGGGAAAATCCTCTGGACTGCACTTCTTAATAGGCTGTGTGTCAGGCCGTGTTGCAATACCATGTTGCATATTGCATATATATTGTACCTTGCATATATATTGTATATAGCTATACAACATGAATATATAGTACATATTGCATGTATGTTATATATTGCATATACTCTGGATCAAGAGACACTTGAATATGAAAGGTTTTTAAAAAAGGCTCAAAAAACTAAAAAGCAACATCTGTGGGAGAGATGACCAGATGACCAGAAACATGTGATAAGGCACGGTTATGGAGTCCTGAAACATTAATACCTCTTCCAGATTCTGATGATAGCTGTCTTCCTCTGCCACCAAGAGAAGTCAACACTGTTTTCTAGCTGCTACACCAAAGTTCAGTCAAGGGATTAAGCTGGAAAACTTCAGATCATAATCTTCAATGGGGTGCTAAGAATGAGAAAGCCACACTCCCTCTCCCACAGTGTTGAAGAAACAGACTCAGATGCATTAACCAGAGTGTTTAGTTACAGCTTGCCTTGAGGCTTAGGAAGAGGTAGCTATTTGAGATGGGTACAGAGAATTTACTCAGCTAGAATGCAGGTAGATTCAGTTCGTTCTTGTTTACTTTGCTGTTCTGGTTCATTAAATGCCTTTTGCACTGAGTTCATGTATCACCTGGCATGGTCTGACATAAAGATGCATTAGTCAGGCTTGGAGCCATGGTTTAGAATACACTATTATCCAAAGTGTATTCTGAACCCGGGCCTAGCCAAAAGGGATTCTCTGATCGTCAGCTATTATTGTCATCCCCGTTCACAACAATGTCTTAAAGTGCATAAGCTGGTGGCCATGCAGAGAAGCATCCATGGGGGAAGCAGGTCTACCTGGGATCCAGAGTGAAGCAAAAATCTAGGAAAACATAAGAAATCTTTCCTCTCTGCCCTCATGGAATGCAGATTTCCTGGCATAGCAAGGAAGCCAAACCTTGTTCATTCACTCTATATATATATGTGTATGTATGTGTGTACGTGTGTGTGTGTGTGTATATACACATGTGTATGTGTGTGTGTGTGTATATATATATATATATATATACCTACATACATAAGTAATTTGTTGTTGTTCAGTTGTTTCACTCATGTCTTACCCTTTATGACTCCATTTAGGATCTTCTTGGCAAAGATATTGAAATAGTTTGCCATTTCCTTCTCCAGCTCATTTTACAGATGAGAAAATTGAGGCAAACAGGGTTAAGCTACTTGCCAGAGTCACAAAGCTAGCAAATATCTGAGGCCAAATCTGAACTCAGGAAGACTCGTCTTCCTGACTCCAGGCCTGGCACCCTATCCACTCCTCCACCTAGCTACCCCATATATGTTAATAGCTAGCGTTTATACACTGCTTTTTAATGTTTGCAAAGCTCTTTACATATCTTACTTCATTTGATCCTCACAACTACACTGCAGGGTAAGGCCCACCTATTATTATGCCCATATTGCAGATGAGGAAACTGAATCTAAATAAGATTAAGTAATTTACCCAGGGAAACACACTGCTTAGTGCAGGTACATCACCTATGCTACCTTCCCCTGCCCCCTCCCAAAAAGAAATTTCACTCTTCAGAAAGGATCATTACTTCCTTTTTCTCTTCTTTTTTTTTTTTTTAACAACAAGCTGTTTTTATTTTTCAGTAACAGGGCAGTAAATAATTACTTGCTTCAACCAGAAATTTTTGGCTGTCAGTCCAAGACCTTTGGGCCCGAAGCTGCATATTGACCTTTGCTACAGAAACTGCTATAGTCTCTGCATTCTGTGAGACACTTATTAGGAGCGAGGAGGACACTTTACAGAAGACCCAGAATAAATAGCACAGTGATTTATCCAGTCATAGTCTGCAGAATGTCAAAGGAAGGTATGGCTGACAGTTCACAGAGCAATCAAAGAGGCTAAAAATGTTCAGTTTCCTCCTTTGTAAAATAAGGAGGTTGAACTAAATGATTTCTAAAGTTCTTTCAAGCTCTTGCAAATTTTTATAATTTATCCATTTTGTACTAATCTTTAGAACAATTAATCCTGGAGAATTTCAAGAAAATGCTAATGTCTTAAATTTGGCAACCTACTCACAATGCCATTAATAAGCAGAATCAATTCCCTTTTCCATTTTTGCTTCCGGTTAAATTTCCCAAGTAACACTAAGCCCAGTTCCCTCTTGTTTTGAAGAATGTATATGTGAAGATCACTCAGTAGGATTGTAGGGAGTAAAGTTATTACACAAACGAATTCCTCTACTATTTTCTGGAGCCTAACACATTTGTCTCTTACAACCCTGAGCCTAATCTTACATCCCTGAAGAACATAAATGAATACATAAAAACATATTTATTAAGCACTCACTTCCCAACCCCCACAGCAACCTTGGAATTCCACCCCAGGTCCCTAGGCTCTGATGGTGAACTTTCATCTTACCTTGCCAGGAAGCAGGTCTCCAGATCAGTCTATGCCTCCTCTAGCCACAGTAGGAGGGGGAGGAGGTCCCTCTTCCTTTTATGTTTTGTCTTCCCTCATTAGATGTAAGCTCCTTACTCATATGGAATTATTTTATGTGGTTTTATTTGTGTTCCCAGCACTTAGTACAGTCCCTGGAACATGTCTGTCTGTCTGTCTATCTATCTATCTATCCATCTATCATCTATTTATCATCTATCATCTATCCATCTGTCTACATTTATCTATCTATCATCTCTGTATCACCTATCCATCTATCATCTATCCACCTACCACCTCTCTATTACCTATACATCTATCATCTATCATCTGTCTACAACTATCCATCCATCATCTTTTTTTATCTATCCATTTGTCTCTATCATCTCTGTATCATCTATCCATCCATCTATCATCTATCAATCTGTCACTTCTCTATTACCTATATATCTGTCATCTATCCATCTATTATCTCTGTCTGTCATCTATCCTCTATCCTTCTATCTATCATGTATTCATCTATCATCTCTCTATCACCTATCATCTCTTTTTCTATCATCTATCCATATATATCTAGCAGCTATTTCCTTTATCTATCATCTTTCAGTCTGCCAAGCACTGGGCTAAG